CTTTCCCTGCACTTGCATCACCCGGGATGCATCATCCTGATAAATTAACTAGGATTTCTATAGAGAGTCAGAGCATATAGAGCTCACATAATTACAGCATGGACACTGTTGTCCCAAAGTATTCCAATATCCGCACTCCTTAAACTGGCCATACTACATGTGTCCTGTTTTGGTTAAAGAATGGAGATAGCTGAAAACATAATTCCCGGTGATACTTTCTTCATTCCCTCTCACAGCGGGCTGGGCACCCCAGCCAGGCCGTTCTACTACTTTTATAAAATGTTCATAGTCTCAGGAAGAAGCTAAAACAGGAGCTTCATGGTTGGTACCTCTTTATATAAATCTGTGGGCCACAACATCTCTATCCTTTTTTCAGTAAATCACAAAAATATTCTCACCATTCAGATAGTAATTGTGAATGGACCATAGAAAATGGAATCATTCCCCAACAGGAAATAATTTAGTTGTTTATGATATTCTTTTGAACTTTATGGTACCTATTTTCAGCATTATCAAATTAACTGCAGAGAAATGTAGTTAACAATGAATTATTTCTGCTCTAAACAGTTCTTTTACCTTCCAAACATAATAGAAACAATGTGTAAGAGCAAATTTGATGGACACAGTATTAATTCTGTAGATAATAAAGGCTGACCTTTTATTGGGGGAAATTTCTGTTTTAAAAGGACTTTTTGGAATGAATATCCTAATTTGCTTTGTACTTTTGATTCCGGTAAAGGTCAAGGTAGTGTCTTTAGAATTTGAAAACTCTTTTTATTAAAGGCTTGTATGGACATAGTTTCTGGTATATGAAAGAAGATATTAAATAGTGGCAGGAAATATCATGAAGCAGAGTTAACAAAGTGTCATGAACTTGGTTTAATTTGAGGATGAGCTCGCAATGGGCCAAAGTCAGGTTTATGCAAACTTGGAAAACACCAGAGGCTTCGTTCAAGTGTCAATAGTGGTGATGGTTTTATTTCTTGAATTTAGCATTCTAATCATTAAAAACAATGCAATACCACAATCATAAAATGCAATTACTGGGAGTATACTTGTAAAACACACATCAAATAAATAGAGTTAAGAAATCTGCTCAGAACAGTCTTTCCATGGGGCCTGCTGTATCACTGCAGTGTAATGTTCTTCAGTAGCCATCCTACAGTCCTATCATAAACTGAAGGATTTGGGATTACTACCATGAAAGAGAATACCTGTATGTTTTTCTTGTAAGGCCAGTCATGCTAAAAACTGTGCAGAAAATTTTCTTTTTTTTTCCATGTATTCTGAGAGTCACATAAGTATAAATTTGCTATATGGATGGCACCGCTTCAGTTTCCCCATTGCACATTCAAAGGAGAATGAGGAACGAGTGAGGATGCTTCTAATTTCTTCCTCATTTCCAAGGGCCAGATGAAATAAAACCCACGCAACTCCAAATCTCATTCATTGCACAAGTCTCAGTGCTCCTCATCATTAAAAAGCAGAATTATCATTCTGTACAATGTGTAATGAACAGCAGCAGACAAGAGCTAGAAAAAAATGGAGTAACAAAGAGATGTGTAGCAACTTGCAATTAGAATTTCTCCTTACATGTATCTAACCTGTCTTCTTGCTTCATGATGTACATAATTAAATTACCACAGATTGATTCCACCTAAAACATGCTATTTTTGAAGAAATCAGGCAATTAGTTGCCATGGCAACCCAATTAAGCCAGTTTTATATCCCTTATCTTAATTGCTGTATTAATTGAGAAGAGAAAATAAATTGAATGCTCAGCCTTTCCTTGCCATTTTAAATTTCAGTAAAATATGAATTGCACACAAAATATTGTTTTAATTTGTCATCACGGACTGATGATTAGAAAAAGAAATTAGAATGCTGAAAACAGTATTTAAGACGGATGGCATATGTCAGTAGCAATTTGATATGCTGAAAGAGCTGTGCTCTTTTGAAATGTAATTACTCAAAAATAGGATCTACATATATTATTTGAGTGAATGATTGAAGGATTGCAACTTTTAAGGACGATTTATTTTATAAATATTAAAAAATAAAAGATATCTAGAAGGTAGTAAGTATTTTTAAGATAGGAAATTTCCAGTCTCGGGAGTTCTTTTATGCAAGATATCAGCATCTTGCATTTATGAGACTGATTTTTCAAATACGTGAGATGCTGAGCAGCCCACCTGGATTTTGGTATCTTCCCACTCTCCTCGTTCCATTTATTTTAGTGGAACCAGTCACGGACTCCAGCTTGGATGCAAAATGCAATAGCAATATTCCTGTCTGAATGGGATTTAAGCCTGCACCTGTTGCCACATCCCTCCTCTGCCCACAGTTTCCCATTATAAAAACAGCATATGGAGAGGGCAAAGAGC